CCACAAGATTACCATGGCCTATAAATACCAAATATGTCTAAACGACATCAGGTGTTCATGAAAAATTAACCATATCCTACTGGAGTACGAAACCCGCCCCTCTACTACTTATTATAATAGGGTGAATTACGACCCAGTAGTAAATGTTTAATATGTCGTGCTAATCCGTACGGTATTACTTAATTCAGTAAACTATATTTTAATGGTTCTTAATCCACGTTAATTACCCCCATTTATATCTATTTCACATTGTCTTATATATTTCTTTAATCAACTGTCTCCAGTATTCTTTGTTTTAAATTTTAAATTGAGCTTATAAATTGTAATTAATATCTACGGGCGAAGGCGTTTTAGTTGCCATGGTATATTCGTAAAGATGATAGATTTATAGGACTGATGCCCTAGGCGATGCAGGGGGATATAAAGACCCAAATGACAGAATTTGGGGGAAGCCTGCTACAAACCTGTGAGGAGATCAACTTAGATCATATTCCTAACTAGGACAGACCTTATATACCTGTATTTGGTTAATTATAGAGGAATATTAACAGCCAACAACAGTCTTGTCTTCTTTTAATCAACAGCGAAGATTAAAAAAAATACACAGAAAAGTGCACTTGTACATTATCCTTCACACAGAAGCGAAAGTTTGGATTTGGAGATTAGCCGAAGCCATGACAAAATAAATAAATAAATAAATAAATAAAATAAATAAATAAATAAATAAATAAATAACCACAGTAAAAACATCAGACTTTTTATAGGCACAAACAGTGATAATTTACATATTAAATAAAAGAAATCCTCAAAAACAATAAAAACTAGAAGAATTCAATGATATCGAAGATTTAAATACAATTTTAGCAAAAAGAACAACAAAACATTTCAGTTTCTTAACCTAATCCTTCATTTGGTAAAAGATAAATAGCCTTTTGCTTCACACTTTTTATGATTACACCAAGATGGCGTAGAAATATACCAGAAGTCAATGATAATGACAGATACGATGAATCTTGTCCGTGTATTGCGTGAACAGAGCACCGAATGTATATTTAACAGTAAAATATATTTCCTTTTCTAACCATTATTTGTTTTCTGTCTAAGAAAGAATAAATTTTGAGAATAGTACGAAACTATCCACACGCAATAGCACCTTGTTAATTGGGTCTAATTATTTATAATGCCATTTGAGGCCATTTAAAGATGTTCTGGGTATCAACCATCTTTTGTTTAACGCCCACAGTTCAGTAGAAAAGTGACACAATTTATAACGTTATAGGTGTCATTAACAGTTGCCTCGTTTTTTTGGCTATGTCTTTTGATTCATGAAGTTTTAAATATGAATGACATTGATAAATGCGATACATCTATAGTGTTGGACACGAGGGTCAAGTTTTTCTGTCCAATCCCATTAACCATGATCTAATATGGCTCCATTGTACTTTGTTATTGATGCCCTAATAAAAGTGTTGCTGTAAATTACAAGTTTTTCTTGGAACGCAATAACTTGAATACAAAACCTACACGTAGATTGCCTTGTTATAAAATCGAAATTCAGAATCAAGAGATTTACAGGAAATGTCATCGTTTCTACTCCAGAAACTGCTTTTAGATTTTCGTTTCCGAGGCAACAGAGAATTTACAAAATCTGGATATGGGTTGGATCTTTTTAAAACTGAAATTAATATTTTTTCCCGTACGATCTCAATCGGTTTTACCGCGACTAATTAATTATACACATTACATTACATTTATTTTTGTCAATGAAATCCGATCAAACTCGTCTCTCAACTCCAAGAAATTTTGACTGGGTTGCGATGTTCTGTTAAAATTCTCTATTCATTTGAGTTAATTATATAATTGTCTAGACTTAGAAATGCGTTTTCAGCTTAATTAAATACCTCATTGTATGTTTGATACGCTATATAGTGATTTCCTTTATATAACGAAGATAGGCCACCTCGTCACGTATTTCACAATTCTACACCAAAATCTATCACGGTGGGCTATTAACCCTTAGAAACCCATATTCTACTACTTTCAATCATTTTTTTTTTAAATAAAAAGTACCAAAAAGGTTTTGATTCGCTTTTACATATTGTTGTATTATATCAAATAATTGCATCAACTATATTTCGTAAATATCATTTCCACATGAAACTGTATGCATGTTCGGTTTTACAATTTATTATATTTAATCTTATTTTTATGTTATCTGTTTCTGTTATATTGTTTATTATTTTCTGTATCCGCGGAAAAGAACTAATATAGGCTTTGCCTGATGTTCAATCCTTTTCAAATGAATAAAATATTATATAAACTAAACTAACCATTTAAAAAAATGTATTTGTTATTTTAAAAGAAATTCTATTTTAACACCCAGATGAATTTTACAAAGATGTTCCGATTTCCAATTCCGGTTTGACGTCTAGCCAGGTTGGCATGGCTCCTTGTATGCATAACACTCAAATGATAATGTAATGACGTCCCCCTTTTCAAATGATACCGATTTATTCTGTATGGTGTATTGTGTATTGTGTTTTCTGTATTGTGTTTCTAGTATTTCTCGGAAAACGTGTAAATGGCCCACTCAAAATATCAGTCAAATGAAATTCGGTCGCGTTTCTGTTATCGCTCGTTACTTCAGTTAGTTATATAGAAGGATAACTCGTGTTTGTCGTCACTTCCCGTTTCTTCACGTGCTTGTTACACATCTCCCGTAGCAATTATCTCAGTGTTAAAATTATATTTGGGATGTATTTAACCAGTTCTATCACATATTTTATAATGACTGACACAAATATTGTCCTTTAAGATGGTAAATATGTTAGGGTTTGTCAAAGTTGTGATAAGCCTCCTCGGTCCTAATGCCCTGATTCAACGGATTGCATACATTATTGTTCCCAACCGGTCCACGGATGAAAAAGGTTGGGAACCACTAGCATATAAACAATCACGATGTTCACAAAACAGGTAATAAAGGGGACTCAAAAGATATTCATTATCTTATACTGCTGGTTATATTTTATAAAGCATGTAGAAGCGACGGTTAAAACAGTTCAGGAAAATTAAACAAAACGGCAACTGATTAAAGGGAAGTAACTCCATTTTTATTACAAAGATAAAAACTGTAAGCTCCGACTTTGTCCGTATTTATTTTACAGACAACGGCAATATGTTATTGCACCAAACTGTGCCTTGATAGACTAAGGACTGTTTTAGTAACTATACCACTAAATTACTTACAACTAGACGAACAAATATCAGAATCTATGTCTATGTTATCGGTGTGTAGCTTTATAGGATTATTACGATTGTTTGTGTTATGGGTATGTCTTGACTAAAGAGTAAGTGCAGAAGGAAAGCACAACATGCAAAACAAAACCGACCAGACAAACCCGTGGCTAGACAAACTACATAGGCCTAGAGATCGCAAGAAATCAAATCAAATCAAGTGAATGGATCCGGGGGCCAACGGTAAGCTTCCACTATGCTGTACAGTCCCGTACCTGTAATGATACAGTCTTTACTCAAATTAAAAAAAAAAAAAAAATTAAAAAAGACGTAACAGAAATAATGCGGTCTATCTTGAATGGCGATAGTCATTGGTTCCAGTAGTTAGTTAATCTTACCCACCCCACGCTAATTTACAAATTAATCTATTATCAATTCACGACCATCAGGGGCAGATTGGGCCATCGGGCGATCGCCCGAAGGGCCGGTCGGACAAAAAATGAAAAAAAATAATTTTGTCCAATTCGTCTAAAAAAAAACTTTTTCTGCTGAACATTATATGGGAGGGGGGGGGGGGTATTGGACCGGCCATGGAGCGATGATGATCATGTTGTATGTCGCCGGTGGCTTTAACGGGCCGCCACGCCATCACTGGAGTCTGGAATGGGCTGGTATAATAAACTTCATGAATTGCACTTTCGCCACTCTGTACAATGTGTCTCGTGGCCTTCCACCACGGGAGGAATCAACTAGCGCCCCCAGCAATAAAAATGGGACATTTTTCAATGAAAATATTCCTACATATTCAATATTTCTAACCGGTTAATCAAATGGTCAAAATTTTCTCAACTAGTCCCATTTTTTAACCAGTTGAATTATCTTGACTCTTGACGATACAATGATAATACGTTAATTAATAATATGAAGATATAATAATTTCACAGGTTGATGGTTGTAAATTGCTTGCAGGTCGGGGTTTTGGCCTAAATTAATCGATTTATGAGATATATTATTTGACAGAGATTATAATCAGATATGCCACCAAATCGCATATTTGGGGTTATAATCAGATATGCCACCAATCGCATATTTGGGGTTCATTTTTCAAAATTTTCCATGGGGAGAGCCCCCGCGGACAGTAAAAGGGGCCGCTCCTGACGACCGTTCTAAATCTATAATACTATCGAACGGATATACCAAGAGGATTATATCAAATGGTGGAGATGTGGTCGCTATAAAGGTATATGTCCCTGAAATAGGCCTACACTGTGTCGTGGCCTCGTTATTGTTATTATTTTCAGGTGCGCGCCAGAAATCACCACATTGACACTGATTGTTCACCATAACCCAGCGATTTTTTAAAATTGCCTCCTCACCACGCGGAGTTTAGTAACTTCGCCCCTCGGCCCACTAGCATGCACGAGTACCCCCACCCCAATAAAATCCTGGCAAGGGGCCTGATTCACGAGACCCTTAAATAATGTTGACGGCAATACCCACTCAGAATGACAGCCTGGTGGTAAGATTGATGACGGGGAGGAGTTATAAAACGAAAGCAAGTGAGAAATCAAAAAAAATATTTTGACACGCTATACCTTATCAGAGACTATGGTACAATCCTAATAGGTGTACAAGATATATCAGATATTAAACTGTGTATATAAACTTGTATATGCTCAGTCAGGTATATGTTAGGTAAGGCGATGATAAGACTTTAACACTGACATTAAATATGTACCTTGTATTGTTGTTGTCGTTGGTCGAGTTTTTGTTTAGGATACAACCATGAAGATCAACACCAAGCTCATTTCTCTTAAAGCTTTCTTCTTTTGTAATTATGCAGGTACGTTCTTTTGTAATTATGCAGGTCTGACGTACGTTCTTTTGTAATTATGCAGGTACGTTCTTTTGTAATTATGCAGGTATGTTCTTTTGTAATTATAATTATGCAGGTATGTTCTTTTGTAATTATGCAGGTATGTTCTTTTGATATTTTTGTGCAGCATCTCTATACAATGTGTTTTAACCATGCTCTGTCTCCTAAAGAAAAGTTCTCCTTGTCACTGGTGCAGGAAGGAGGGCCTGACAAGGACAACTGTCTAGTCGTTTGGATGGGACGAAAAACCGACTCCCCGTGTACACATCGGCGTGCACATAAAAGATCCCTTTGCAGTTGGAATGCGATATAATAGTAGGCCATTATAATGCCGCTGCCCAGGCAAAATTTCCCATATAGCACGCTGTATGGCGTATGCCCGTCTTCATTAGCCCAGTCGGATCAGAAAAGTAGGACGTTAAACCCCATTTCATTTCATTTACTAAAGAAAAGACAAACAGACTTCGCCCATGTTATAACCAACACAGACATTTATTCCTTTGAAGACTAACAGGCAGGAGTCTTTATATATTTCAGCGGCTGGTGCTCTGCTTCCGTTTCTTACAGTTCATCTGAAGAAACTTGGTATTAACTCTACTGAAGCTGGTATAATCTCAGGTTTAACACAATTACTCTCTATATTTATACGACCAGCATCAGGAGCATTTGCTGATAAACAAAATAAACATAAAACCATATTACTGCTCATGCTTGTTTTATATGGAACCTCTTATTTCACTCTTATGCTGGTTCCACATCGTCACGATTTTACCACAAATCAATCAATTTTCACCTTTCGTAATCTTTCCCAAAATGTGACCGTTTTCTTGCCTAGTGCGAATGCTTCGTTTTCATGTGATGCTATCGATGACCAATCCTACACAAATCAAATAAAAAACATGTGCGGCCAAGTTATCCGAATAGAACCAGATTCAGGTGCCAACTGTAGCCTACCTGCTTGTAGTGAACTGTGTTGCCAGTCGGATGAACCATCAGAGATTAGTGATTTTGAGTTCAACCCATTTCAAAATGGTACCCTTAACTGCACTGTGCCTTATGATAAATCTGAAGTGGAAGAATGGAGATTTGACACAACGTTTATATTATCCTTCTTATTAGTGTTGATAGCACGGATTACTTATTCCTGCTTACAGAGTCTTCTCGATACCATAACCTATTTCATGCTGGGGACTAATCGTCTACTCTACAGTCGTCAGAGGTTATGGGGAACCGCTGGTACGGCTATTTCAGCTTCTTGTGTGATTTTCGTTATTGATACGTATTATGATGGCGTCTTTTACTTGTTTGGTGGATTTTGTTTATTAGCATTCTTCGTTGGATTAACGTTGGATGTTCAGGCCGAGAAAAGGGAGAATGTAAAATTGGTAGATATTTTAAAACAACAAATAGTTCTTCCTCATATCCGCTGGTTTTTGATTAAGATTCTTTTTTATGGAATGTTTTTGGGAGCAACAATCAATTTTTTGTTCTGGTTTTTCAAAGACATAGGCGTCAGTGGTTCATTTTTGGGAATCATTACTCTAGTTCACTGTGTATCGTCATTAGTTGTGTTACAGATAGCACCAAAGCTGCTGAAAACCTTTGGGCAGGATATGTGTATGCACGCTGCCATATGTGTCTATAGTATTCGTTTCGTTGGACATTCGTTTATCCCCAATCAGTGGATGATAATTCCTCTAGAACTTTTACGTGGAATATCGTATGCTCTATTTTGGGCAGCGGCCTCATCTAAAGTCAGTCTTCTAGCACCACCAGGTAGTCAAGGGACGTTTCAAGGATTAGCTGGTGCTGTCTACAATGATCTTGGTAGGTAATGAATTTTCAGATTTTACCTTCACAGTTTATTGCCGCTTCAGGATATATTCGAACCCGGGACAAATATCAGGGAATTCTTTAGAAGAGTAATTTGTGGGGCGAATGCAGAAAACAAAAAAGCGGTGGGACAGTACCGATAATATCGTTAAGTAAAAATCACACGCTTTTGGTACTACTGGAGAAGGAAAGTAGATAATTTGGCAGACATCACACATATGTACGCCAACTTGTAGAAATTCAAACATTTTCTTGCACCCGGGGCCAGGGGTAGACAACCCTGCCGACCAAACTATGTCCCAGTGCTTCACATTCATTAAAAAAATTCCCCGACATATGCTCCTAGCTGCATGACATATTTTAACTTTAGCTAAGTTACTTTAGTTTAAAAAATGCATTGCGCAAGGCCTTTCTAAGGCTAGTTTCCCACTATCACGAATCGCCCTACGAAATAAATCGTGGTTTTAATCGTGGAGTAATCGTGGTGATCTTATTAGGTCTTATCATTTAGCAATCTTGTTGATCGTATCGAAACGTATCCGAACGTATCTGCACGTACCAGATCGTGTACTCTAGCATTAGCGTTTTATCATAGATTGTGTCGTAGTAGACATCACAGTCCAAGATCAATATTTTATTATTTTTTGTTATCTAGGTCGTGGATTAGGATCTATCATGACAGGATTTTTATTTCAACAATTTAGTGCAAGATGGACATTCAGAGCGTATGCTGTATTATGTGTTATTCTACTAGTAATATCATGTTTCTTTGATCGCCGCTGGAAAACGCCAATCAAATCGCAAAAAGGTAAGAACGTCAGTGTCTGTGATTCTCCTAAAATGGTGAACGGCGAACGAAAAAAAAAATAAATAAAACAAATAGGGATAATCCTTTATTTCCTGCGTATTTTTTTTTTATTCTGCTGTAAAAATTAGAACTTCCAGAAACGAAGAAATGCCATGATGTGCTGATAATACGAGAAGGCGTATATTTTAAATACCATTTAAAGACATTTCTTATTGATAATTGGTTGCCTGCATATTGCATGGTACAGTATATATTTTAAATGTTATTTAAAGACATGTCTTCTATTCGCTTATCTGTGTTGATTATTGTACACTGATGAAATAATAATAGTTCTAATTTTTACAGCAGAATAAAAAATACGCGGGAAATAAAGGAATCCCGATCATCAAGTCGCATTATCCCTATTTTATTGATGTTAACCATTCTCCGGTTTAGGAGAATTACAGACACCGATAAGACCACTTGTACGAAAGTAAACAACGTGTAAAGTATATGCACTTCTTAAGAAATCCGCAGACATGTTAGACAAAATTTGGGTTTGTTTTCAAGTTGAGACGTAGTTCCTTTCTACCGCTCTACCACCACCCACCAGATGGCTTTATAGTGTTTTCTAGATCATAACTTACAATGAATGTTATCTTTCGACTTATTAAACCTCATTATGCTACATTTATTTACAGATACCCAAATCAAGATGAATCAAGATACAAGTGAACATTTACTCACAGAAAAGTCTGTAGATGTTTGATGTATAGCCTTAACAGTGAATCCAACATACACTTGTCTGCGATATCACCTAGGTGGAAGCGGACGTTAAATAAAGCTATTTCACACACACTCCAACACGCACATTTAACCGACAGAAGTAGGGGAATTAATGATGTCGGGACTGGATTAGAAAATTATTGTGAAGATATATACATAGTTTTAATATCAACCAATTAAATATCCACAGATGGCATTGATGTTTGAATTTATATATGGGAGACTGATATAAAGATAGTTTATTTAATGTTTTATGAAAATCAGTCAATCTGAAGCACTGTTATCAAATGTTGATCTTAGTCCGTTAGTAACTATGATAACGGAGAGAGAGAAATGGGATTTAATGACCACTCGACACAAACTAGATCATTTTGGGACTAATATGGTTCAATTTTATTTCAATAATTTGCTTGCTCGTAGGGGTCTTTAGCAGTGGGAGGACCTGGAGAAAACCAACGAGGTTGGACAGGTGACCCTACTCCTTGTCACATACAACCGGGGAATCGAAACCACGCCAGTTGACTCAATGACTCCTTATGATGCAACGCGCATGCGCTAACCATTCGGCCATACAACTCCCGCTATGATAATGAAAGATACATTTGAACAATTCAGTTTTGATCAAAATCAGTTTATTAGAAGGAAATTTATTGTGTTTCCCACAATTAACCAATCAAATTGCAATAGGCCAGATGAGGATGCTTTTCAAGCTTTGGTAAATGTCTGTAAAATGCTCTTATACCCCCACTATTAATTTGTAAAAAATGCAAAAACAATGGCTATTTTTCTTTTCATTTTATTAGCAACATTATAAAAGTTAACAAAATAATTATGCATACTTGGAACATCCTAAAACAAGTCATCAGAACAGTGACAAATGACAATCAAAACCGAAAAAAACAAAACAAAAACAAAAAATTCTTGTAACAGATCATGGAGGTTTAACTACAATCTTTGAAGTTGTACCTTTGAGTCCTTTTTGTCACTGCAAAAGATAACTCCCACAATTGCATAATGCAAAAAGCATCATTGATTAGAAATGTTCATAATGCTGACCAATTTAGTTTAGAATTCAGAAGACAATAGTAAGTTAAATGCCTATAATATTATATTAAAGCAGGGAGTACGTCTTTCTATAGTATATTTGTGAAATCATTATAGTATATGAGTGAAGTAGATTGAACAATTAAATGGAATTAAAAGTCTCAAAATATTATGTTATAATGTTGACTAGAGTGTAATTACAACAAAATACTTATACATACATATGTTCACAGGTGCGCATCCAGGTATTTTCGCAGTAGGGCTTTGCAGGGTCCTGTTAAGTTGATAATGCATGATGCCAACGTCTCAGAATTATATAGGCATACATACACACGCTGAGCTTTATTAAAGAGAGAAATCAAACACCCTGTTTGAGGTCAATTTTCATAATGAATTAATAGGATCACATGGTGATTCAATTTCATTGATGCAAAGAATTAATTGTGATACCACACATGTCTATATCATTATTTTGCACTTTGAATGCCCATCCCATACCACCATCTTATGATAAAGGATAAAGCACAGGACCATTGACAATACCTTTATGTAGCTGAGCAAGAGGGTGTATGAACCCCCCACCCCTCCCCTCTCCTCTCTGTATCTGCCCTTGGTTCTCACATCTATTCTTCTTCTCTAGTATTTAGCTTTAGTATTTAGTTCAAGACTTATACAGAATACGATATGCTATGACCATGTTCATAATACGATAAACTATCACTATGTTGATATCAAATAACAATTGCTATTTATTATTTAGATGGGTTTATTAAGGACAATCTCCTTCTATATATCTGATAACCTACTAGTACTCTCTTCTGTTTTATAGTATATAAAATATTTAAACTTCAACATTTTCACATAATTAGAAATCAAAAATATAGACAGGGCATATCAGCCCCCCTCCCCCCAATATGTCCATCAATAGTTAAGTCAATCAATGTTAACATATCCTACATCCCACTGAGCAAGTTTTAAATAATCACATTATGTATCATGTTCACCAACTTAAAGTGTCCAAATGTGAACTGAATCTCCATAAAATCTTGTTATTTACAATCAAAATCTTCTTAATTTCAATTCAACCAATGCATTTGAAATTTACAATCAAATTGAATAGGATTTTTTTTTTATGTCCTTACGAAGTTTTAAAATGTACGATGAAGAACTGTTTAATATCTCTTACATTCACAACATTTCATAAATTTCAACGTAAATTGGGAGATGATTTCAAAACTTACAATAATAATTTTCTGAATTTCGATTGGGTTCCTCCTGAACAATCCTATTAAGTTTGAAAAAATTCTTACGAGAACTTTAAAAGTAAAAATTACTAACTTTGCTGTATACAGTAAATTGTGACCAGCTTCAACATTTACGACTAGAAAATTCAGTTTGATGGAATTTTAAATGATGGCATCATCACCATCTATGAATGGAAAATGTAGGTGTTCATATGGAAATAAGGCACCTGTCACAGACAATGTCAGGCACAGATTCAGGCTTTGTCAGGCATTTTATCCAGTACAGATTTGTCTTTTTTATTGATATTATTAATACATGTCCGGCGCTAAGTTGAAAATGTCAGGTATTATTTCATTAGTGCCTGACATTTTGTCAGGTACATCTAAAACCGTTATTTCTAGAAATCTAAAGAATTAGTACACTTTTCTCCTCTATAGTTCACTATAACAATATCTGGTTTTCTTACAACTAAATTAACCAAATCTTCATCATTTATCTGGAAATAGAAAATATTTTTATTTAATGCATTATTACAATAGTTTTATATAGTAACAAAGAACATGTTTTTTATACATATTGGTTAAAATCTATAATCTATTTGAAGCCAATAGGTAATTAAGTCAATATGGAAATATTTTAACGTAAAACATCACAATTCAGACGTTAAAATAACGTAATTATAACAGTAACATTTTACAAAAGTAAAAAAGGGTTGGTGTGCCCAAATTTAGATTTGTCCTTGATGGTGGTTAATATATTTATTTAGGTACAGGTTGGTATCAAATTGTTAAATTATGTGACAGTCAAGATTTGGAATGGGTTTTAACGTCCTACTTTTCTGCTCCGACTGGGCTAATGAAGACAGACATAGGCCTTACAGTGTGCTATGAGGAAAATTTTGCCCCGACAGCTGCACTACAGCCTACTCTTATATCGAATTCCAACTGCCAAGGGACCTTTTACGTGTGTGCCAATGTGTACACAGGGCCTTGGTTTTCCATCCCATCCAAACAACTAGACAGCTGTCCTTGTCAGGCCCACCGTCTTGCACCACTGACAAGGGGAACCACACTTTTGTGGACCTAGGTGAAAAAATTGTACATTAAATTAACTGAACGAGTAGACCTGACATTATTCGGTTATGTGTCTTTGTTGAGTAAGTAGCTTCTTTCAACAAGATCAGCTCTGGACCTGTTTGATTCTATCGTATCTCTTGGGTCGAGAGAATAAATGTTTTTAGCCAAAAGAATATCTTTACCAATATTGGACATTAAACTAAATCGAAAAAAAATAACATAAAAGTAACATATCTGGGAAGTACATGGAAATATTTTAATTTCTCAGTAACTATACAAACGGTTCCATTTCCGCCATTTAATAAAGTGTATTGAATAGTCATGAGCAGAATTATATTCTGAGAAAAAAACCAAACCAAGGTCCTGACTTTTGGTTAAAATATTTCTCCTACCATTACTTTATATTGGTTATGTACACATATACATCGCTATTTTATGAACCATTCGATTCTCCCAATATAAATTCTTACTGGATGTAATTGGCTTTCGTAGTAGAACTATACTACAGTGACTGGTATGTAGTAGAACTATACTACAGTGACTGGTATGTAGTAGAACTATACTACAGTGACTGGTATGTAGTAGAACTATACTACAGTGACTGGTATGAAGAAAGATCTACAAAACCATATATTTAAGGAAGAAATTTAATCAATGATTCAAATCAACAAGAAAAGATATACTTCACTTACAAAAGAACACTTTTCAAAATCACAGAATGTTAATCTTGGCATTTCTTCTGGAATTCGATGTAAACAATCACCATTGATATCTATTCCAATTAATAGTAAATCTTTTAGATTTCTGAAAGTAAATATATATCGACAGCGTCAATAAGTTTCAGATTTAAAGGTTAAAAAATGTGTTAAGGAGCAAAGTTTCGATGTACAATAAGATCCTCGATAAAAATTCATTTACTCCGATAATTCTTAAAAGCTATTCATGATCAAAGGCAAAATGACTGTTTATGTTCCAAAGGAATAGCCAACATGGTTTCCCCTTGTCAGTTCTGCTCCGACTGGGCTAATAAAGAAGGGCATACGCAATGCAGTGTGATATGAGGGAAATTTTGCCCGGACAGTGGAACTATCTCCTACTCTTATATCAAATTCCAACTGCCAAGACATCTTTTATGTGCATGCCAATGTGTACACAGGACCTCGGTTTTTCATCCCATCCAAATGACTAGAAAACTGTCCTTGTCAGGCCCTCCGTCCTGCATCACTGACAAGGGGAAACCAAGTCGGTAAATCCTGATGAACTTTCTCGGCCAATGTAGGGATCAAACACGTGACCTCCAGGCTAGCGAGCCAGCGTCTTACCTACTTAGCCACCGTGGCTTCCCAGGTTATAGAAATGACCTGTTAAATGTTTACTATACTACGTACCGGCAATGATCAACTATAGATATTAAACCAGTCTCTGATATCAGCCAACACCACGATAAATTTAAATATTCTAAATTTGGTCCACAACTGAAATAAAACGTAATATTTATCATTATTTATAATTCTGTACACATTTTTTGGCGGTTTGCAAAAATTTTAATTAATGGAGAATCTTTTATTCAATCTGATTAAAACACAGATCCTATTTGTTTCGTTGTTTATAGTTCAAAATTTCGTTTTCCTTGTCTTTACTACACTAGGATCTGGAAGAGTTGTTATATAACCCACGAAATGGATGATGTGAGGGATTAGCCAATAAAACTGTCTGTTACGGCGAATCTTGAAAACAGCCAAATTCTGACTGGGATTAGTGAGCCAAATGGTGGTTCATTGCATTCGTGATGAAAATACAGCTGGTATCATTCAGTTTCAATCGATTGTTTTATCCGTAATGACTGACTGTATAAGTTAAAACATCAGCCCTTTATATACATGGTACTTGAGCTCTTTGTTTTATTTTTAGATTTTCATGTGATATTTACTTACTTTTGACAGAGAGCTAAAACCACTTTATCAGATATATTACAACATTCAGAGAGATCTAAGTTTCTTAACCGCTTTAAATTAGGATTTTGAAGAAATGACAGGAATGCTTCTTTGGAAAACTCTGGTCCTTTTCTAAGTTTGAGAACTCTAAGTTGCTCTAAATTCTGAAAGGAATTAACGAAACAAGGCATTAAGGGAGATTAGATAAAGACCTGACAGTAACGTAACATAAAGAGAATATGCTGAAAATGTCAGTCAAATTGATCCGAGATATTAGCGATTGAATTTTAGGAGTAGCCTTGATCATCATTACGGTACGATAATAAACAGTCTTGATTATTCATTTTGACGTTAAATCATCCATCACAAAATCCAGTAAATATTGCAGATTAGCGATGACATCTAGAGTTGATTATGGTCTTGATAAGTTAATTAATGTCTAATTAATAATTTTGATAACATTTCAGGCCTAAAGAAAGACCTGCAATAGACAGATTTAGCTCTTACATAATGTATGTTTAATAATTAGAGAATAATTGAGCTGCTGGGATGACATTTTGAAATTTGAATATGAATCCTGCAATTTATTTTTTTTGAGTTTCCACGGCAACCATTCAGGTTTAGAAAGACAGTTTTATGTAAAACTTACCTGTAGATATTGTAATGATAAGTCTGTTAATAGTTCACAAAAGGAGATCTGTAATGTTTTGAGCTTTGTACATTTAGCCACCAGGTAAATTGTATTATCAGTCAGTTCTTCACCATCTAATATTAATTCTTGTAAAGATGTGTAATGTACATTTAACAAGGTTTCCATTCCACTGTAATACAAAAACAATAATCCTACTTATAAACCTATGATGGTCAATCTCTTTAATCTCTGGAGTATATTCGGGCACAGTACAAATTAACATAACAGTTTAAGCTTACTGATATTAAAATTAAAGGGAAATTGTCCTCCTCATCTTGCAGAACATTCAGATAAAAATGACCAATTACATATTAGGATCTTGTGAGAAATATTAATTTTAATCCATACTTCTTGAAACAACTTTTTTTAAATGAAATCTTGTTAGCTCCTTTATTGGCAATACTTCCAATCATCTTTGAAATATGAAGGAGTTGTTTAACTCATTCAAAGAATTTGTCATTCTATCCTATTGAAAGAATACATGTACCACCAGTTACCTGTATTCTCCTTTGTTACAACATAATTATTGTTTACCTTAAAATGGCTTGGTTTACTTAATTGCTGGTTAGCAACCATATTTCTTCTCTCTTGTGGTGTTAGTAAACGGGTTTAAAATAGGTTTAGAAATATGTCATCTACAATCTGATTTAAACACAGATCCTATTTCGTTTAAAACGTCGTTTTACTTGTCTCTACTACACTGGGATCTGGAAGAGTTGTTATACATGTATAACCTGAGTTCTGGATGATGTGAGGGATTAGCCAATGAAACGGTCTGTTGCGGTGAGTTCTTGCCGTGCTATGCATGGAACTGTGGGTATCCTACTAGAAACATCAACGTTGACTGGTTAATCAAATATCTGATGTTATAGGATCAAAAGATGCTCGTATCACCCCTGATGCAACCTTCCACTACAACTGGCCAGATCTTCATGTAATGTAGGTCATCGAGAGTATAAGGAAAAAAACGAAACGAATTATAGATCTGTATTTTAATAAGATTGTATCATCTATAAATATGTGATCTATATAATACTTACCAGTCAGAAATATATAATACTTACCAGTCAGAAATATATAATACTTACCAGTCAGAAATATATAATACTTACCAGTCAGAAATATATAATACTTCATTAATATCTAACGATCTTATCATATTGATATGTTTACTTATATACATCAACTTTTCGTCAGGTAAATAACAATGACTAAAGTTTAAATTTTTTAGCTGTTGGGCTCGGCACAGTAATTGCACAAACTTGTCATCGATATCACAAGCACTGCCTTCTAGACTTATTGTTTCTAATTTAGAACAGTTTGATACAACAGTATTCAATATTTCAAGACTAACACAACAGAAACTAAGATCTATTTCCACTAAACTAGGTAAAGATTGGGTTAATATCAACAGCCGTTCATCTAAAATGAATTCTGGTATATTTGCAAGTCCTAATAGCCTTTGAACTCCAGGGATCTTTTTTAAAAACTTGCATAGATAGGAGGAGGAGCATTCGGTAAAAAGCTCCATGTCAAATGATGTCCACAATGACTGATCAAAAGCTAATTTAAACCAGCATTTACATGTTTGGCTCACACAAATAAGATCACCCTGGTCCAGATAGGAAAATATTTTAATGGACATTTCTACAGGTAAAAGAAGAACTGCTGCTGATGGTTCATCACCAGCTGATGTTTTGGATGATTCCAAAGCTGTTTCGCATATTGTTCTACATTCTTCAACACCTGATGTTTTGGACTGTTCCATATTTGTTTCATGTATTGTTACACACTTATCATTATCTGATATATTGGATAATGATAAATTTGTTTCGCATATTGTTCCACATTCCTCAACATTCAATGTTTTGGACTGTTCCACATTTGTTTCGTATATTGTTCCACATTCCTCAACATTCAATGTTTTGGACTGTTCCACATTAGTTTTGCATACTGTTCCACATTCCTCAACATTCAATGTTTTGGACTGTTCCACATTTGTTTCGCATATTGTTCCACATTTTTCATTAACTGATGTTTTGGACTGTTCCATATTTGTTTCACATATTGTTCCACATTCTTCAACACCTGATGTTTTGGACTGTTCCACGTTAGTTTCGCATATTGTTCCACACTCCTCAACATTCAATGTTTTGAACTGTTCCACATTCATTTCGCATATTGTTCCACATTTTTCATTAACTGATGTTTTGAACTGTTCCATATTTGTTTCACATATTGTTCCACATTCTTCAACACCTGATGTTTTGGACTGTTCCATATTTGTTTCATATGTTCATTATCTGATATATTGGACAATTCTAAATTTGTTTTGGATATTGTTCCACATTCCTCAACATCCGATGTTATGGAGAATTCCAGATTTGTTTTACGTATTGTTCCATATTCCTCAACATCTGATGTTTTGGACTGTTTCATGTTTGTTTCACTTCTTGTTCCATATTTATCAATATCGGAATCTAATGTTTTGTAAAGTTCTATAACCTTATTTGTTTTATGTGTTGTTTCACAGTCAGTTGTTTTGTATTTTTTCCCATTTATTTTAAACTTCAGTCACATCCAATTGATCCAGGAAACTGTGCAATCTTTTCTTTTATTTTGTTCATTATGTCTACTAAAAAATAACATTATTTAATTAGAATTTGTCAAAAATCAACAATACCATTTCTTTCTAAGTTAGATATATTTTGTCAATTTTCTGATTTACTGTCACAGGGTTCCCGCGGCTTCGTCAAACATTTTTTCCAGGATATTCAAAGATAAATATACGTCAAATTTAAGGATTTTCAAGGACATTTTTTAGCCTAAAGTTACAATTTTTCATCTTAAAAATAACCAAAACATTACCAACTATCGTTATAATCTCATATTTAAAAGGAATTGAAGACATTTGAAACAAAATTAAGGATCTCAACTGAAATTCAAGGATATTTTCCTATTTCCGCGAAATTCAAGGATATTCAAGACCTTGAAAATGAAATTTTAAATTTAAGGATATTCAAGGATTTTCAAGGACCGCGGGAACCCTGTGTCAATTTAAACTGATTTGATACCAATATTACCACTGATATTCCACAAACAGTTGAATCTTTAAGTCAAATCAAACACTTTAATCTAATTTAACTCTTTTCCTTGTACATGTATGTCATGGTTTATAAATATTGATTCTTCGTATTTGTGCAATTCCTTTCTCGATTTACTATAGCCTACTAAATAATTAAACTAACCTTCCATGGCAATAATAAGTAAGTAAAAAACAAACTTATAAAAGTTTGGACAACAACAGAACATAAGATAAGTCATATCAAACTTAGAGAGACACAAATCAGGTCATTTCGGGACTAACATATGGTTCAATTTTATTTCAATAGTTTTCTAGCGCGTAGGTGGGAGGAAACCGGAGGAAACGCAGAAAACCCAAGAGGTTGGACAGACGACCCTACTCCTTGTCACATACAACTGTGGAATCGAAACCCTGCCAGTTGACTCAATGACAGACCTTATGATACAGCACGCCCGTGTTAACCATTCGGCCATCCACCCCCCATTTTATCTAGATGATTACAAATACCATAAAAATTACTTTTTCATTTGAGGGTCTAGCATCTAAAGCCTAGGACAGACAAGCATATTAATTTGCCTGATTGTGCCGATTGAAATTTGCCAGCCAATTTTGACGGCCGTTCACAAACAGACACACGTTGCGATCGTCTCGAGAGCGTATTCCAATTTGTAAGTATATAAGTAAATGACGCCACTAATATCTAACATGCTAGATATACGGGCAAAGACAGCACAGTACAGAACTATATATAGGCCTAGGTATCCCGAGATATGCAAACATAATCAAACATTTAGTACATCTTCTATGGTACATGTCCCTTAATTGTAGCCCGTGGCGTAACATGAATTATTGTCTTGGCATTGGCTCAGAAAATATTTGTTGACATTCATCATCATTCATTTATCATTATCATTCCCTCTCAGGCCTCTGGACTCTCTGGCCTAGTAATTCTAAGGTTTACAATTATTTACTTCTGCAATCATTTTAATAACGCAAAAAAAAAAAAACCAAATCGAATTAATAGACAAAACTTACATTATTTAAAATAATCTCCACTTTTGTTACACCGTATAGTTTCTAGTTAATTGTCTTTGAAATCTATATTATTAAAGACAACCGAAAGTAGAGAATATGATCAAGTTGATTACTAGCACGTGCTACATCACATGGTTGATCTAGGAACTTGGTATTTTGCCCCATTCGAACAACTAAACTGTTCCTTACCATACCCTTCGTTCTACACTACATGCATCGAGAAACCATGTTGGAAAATCCCGGGGTGAGCGACCATACTTTCTTACACACGAACAACAGATATAGAGTTCTGCATAACGAAGTGTTAATACAGTCTTGATTAAATATTTGAATTGAGGTCCGGACCGAAGGAGAATGGTTCAATAAGTAATACGCACAGCGAATTTATAAAATCAAGTCCAACAATTTGTCAGGTTTGATTACCCAGTACATTTTAAGATTTTCTGCTGAGGTCACAGAGCTACGGAAGCTTTATGGGGCAATATTATTTAGTATGTCGAAATTCAACTTAGTATCTTGAAATTTCAACATGCCATTTCAACTTGGTAGCTTAAAATTTCAACTCATTATATCTTGAAATTTCAAGTTACCGGTACTAAATTAAAAGCATAGCATAGTCCTTTAGAGTGGGCAGTTTAACATTGGCAGCGACATTATAGGCATACGATTAAAGGAGCTAAATCGCTAATAATTGGGACCTAGAAATTGACACAAGTGGATCGCAACGCATATAATAATGTAATATGAATGTATATAAACTGATTTACATTCAATTTTTTCCGTTTTTACTCTGATTTCAAATCAGTTATGTTCGGCGAAATACACCAGAAGTGTCAATCGAATGGCAATCTCTAGCGTCTGGTTATTCCAGTCTACATCGATAGTATTTATTGCACATGCTCTCCAGATAAGAATATGACATCATCGTTTGACATGACCTGTGTCTAGCCTTGTTCTTCGAGTCCCTTGTTACAAATGGCACTGAACCGCATTATGGTACACGATTCTTGCAAACGGTAAAGTGTTTATTTTGTCTTAAATATTGGCTATCAGAAGCCCACCAATGCTGATTTAAACTGACAAATAATTTGTGTTTATAATGTCGAAGACCTTAGATGGTACTATTGATACTGAGTTAGAGACTTAGCTACTTTAAATTATAGGCTAAGTAAACGTAAAAACAAAAGTAAATTGAAATTTCAATTAACACCTTGGCATAATACCTACTCACTTGAAATGCCAACTTATATAATTAATTAGTACCTAGGAATTTATAACCTTGAATGTCGTGATACTTTGTGCTTTCCGTGTGGATAAAGGGTGGATCAACGGACAAGGCCGACACCGCGAACAAATTACAACTTTAACTTTATATGAAAATACTGAATAATTGTTCGGCCCATTTGAAAACATTTCCGAAAACATCTTGAACGGGATAGAGGCTGTAATTTTCGACGGATACTTTTCAAATTTGATGGGAACCATTGGGGTCATGAGAGGATGAACCCTATCGATAATAAGCGTTCTGCAACCTTCCGTTACGGAGTCATACCTCCTTGTGAACACGATAGAGGCTATAGTTTTTATCAGATTCTGTCAAATTTGGTGTGAAACATTGGGGTCATGAGAGAATCAACAATATCGATATTCAGCGCTCTGCGACTTTCCGTTCCAGAGTTATGCCTTCTTTTCCCCCACAAAAAAACCCATGTGAATGCGATAAAGGCTATAGTTTTTAATGAATCTTTGGCTTGAAGCTTTGGGGTTATCGATCTCTTTCGATATTCATAATCCGCAGCCTTCCGTTCTTGAGTTTTCTCCCCTTCGGCTAAAACAGTGTGAATGTCGAGATTATAGGTTTTAACATATTTTCTTTTTCAAATTTGGTTGGAAGCAATGGGATCATAAGAGGATGTAGAGATTAGATTTCTTCAAGGATCCTTCTAGATCCTTATCAAATTTGCTCAGCATCTAATTTTCCTTCCCGATAAGCCGCAGGTGAGACAAGGTCGTTGTGTGGGCGTTTGAGGGCCTATACATGCTTTACGTGGCTATCTTTACTATTTGTATGATTAATGAAATGTATAAACCCTGTTTCGAAAGGAACGTACAATGATTTGAAAACGAAATACTTTCTTAAATAGCGTAAGTTTTTCACCTATATTTCTTCTTTTTTTTTTGGAAAAAAGTACCGGTATACCTAGAGAATTTTGAGAAGTATTTATTCTGCTTACGTTTAATGGAATTGAAAAGGTTTATTTAGTCTTGTGTGTACATGCCAGATGTGAAACGGGGTAGAACCGCACCACAAAACAATATACTAATTTTTGGATATGGCGGCCAGTCAGGACAGAGATTTATTCTCGAAATATGAAGTAGATGGATCTGTGTGAAGCATGCCCCACTTCTCTTAAAATATAGGTCTGGTTGAACGTGTATATTGTTTTCAGCTCATCATTGGTCGCATCTGTTGCCATTTAAGTATATTTTTAGTAACACACTAACCAGATCAACACGGCAAAAGTAAGTTAAATATTTTTTGTTCTATTTTTACAAGTTGTACGCCAAGTTAATAGAATTCCAATTAGATGTCAACCCTTTGTATTTTAAGACTTCGAAATCAGAACAGTGTGAGATAACGGTTTTGTCAAATTTGTGCAGTCTTCCACGATACGTCATAATGACGGAGCTATTAATTTATTTATAGATCAGGGATTGCAATAGAATGTATGGAGACCCAGACGTACAATAGAAAACCAATAAAATCCAAATATACTGAAACGCAACAAAAACGCGCCGTTGATTTAACAAGAAGTGCTGACGAGACAAAATGCAGCAGTGACAGTATGCTCCTCACGAGAAAACACAGGACAGAACAATCTAGGCGTCCCTGGATACACCACATATTTACATCAGGCGATTGATATAGCACTCGTACCTCCATCACAGGTGCCAACATTTGCATATCTTTGCATCTTCCAGATAAATGTTGGAGTTGTATTGACCCTATCGTTTTAAAAACCACTTTAATACGCTATTTCTGAACCATAAAATCATCGTGATTTTCAACACTCCCTTTCTGTCGAATTCAGATTATTGCATGCGTTTAACAGAATTGATCTACTAACTAATGCGTATGCGTTTACGCGTTGGTGAAAACGTACGTCATTAATTCTCACGCTTTATCGGCATGATCCGATGGTACATGTTGTATTTCATTCAGAATTGTATCTACCAAGCAAGATTTAATTTTAAAAGCATCCAATAATCAAGGTGATGCGTTTTCATTGCGTCTCAGTAAAAATATTATCAGGTCCCGAAAAACCGTAAGTATGTCCTGTTGGTCATATCTCGGGTAGCCTACCATATCACGGACAGACAATCTGTGTATGGTTATACGGTTAGCCATAAAGAAAAGGTGTATCAAAATACGTGGGTTAACATTGCCTGTTTACAAATCAACTTGCATCTGATGTAGGGCGTATCTACCCCATAGAAAGTAAGTTAGTACAATAGCCTGACAGTTTAGATCGCGTATTACAATCTGCGTATTATCAGGCGATTTTGTGTATAATATTGTTTTGTTAAGCAATGATTTGGTCCATATTTGTTAAGCAATCAATAGGTAGTACATCTGGTACAACTGAGTCATCATACTGAACAGTAAATATAAGGAAATATTCGATATGACTGAACAATAAATTATAACCTAGACTTACATGTATATCAACATTGTGATTGTCTAACGTAATTTAAGACCTGTCTTGGAGAAAAAAATTGTAAGTCTTTTACGCAGTCTACCGTTAAAACAGATAACATTTTGATTTATATAAACAATTTTACCGAATAATTCAATTCATTATTACGTTATTTAATGTTATCTTTGGTCGTGTTGTGGCAATTTTGGTTAGTTTTTAAAACGAACATATTATTATGGGTAAATCGTTGGTTCGTTTCTAACTTCATTTCCGGATTACATTTCAGATGGCGTCAAAGAGCTGGCAAGCAGAAATTTTGGCTGGAGTTAATCGGATCCCAAATACAGGCGCTGTACCCGGAGTTCTCACTGTATTGAAGGACAATGTTCGTTCCATACTACCAGGAAATCAAGTTTGGATGGCTGCTGCAGAATATGGGAAAGGTCGGGTTATGGTGCTGGCACATGAAGGTTACTTATCAGAGTTTCATTCATCAACTTACAACAACCATAACATCGCACAGCTGAATTATAATATGAAACAGTGGCTGACACGAGGAAATTTTGTATCAAATACCGAAATTGGAATTTTAGGATCTATCACAAGAGACATTTTGCCTCATTATAAAATACTTGTGTGGAGTGGTGCTAATGGAGTTAAAAACGTGACATCAGAGGATCTGCTTCATTTTGTTCAAAATGGGGGTTCAGTTGTTCATGCCATGTGTTCCTGGGGATGGCTTCAAGTCCATGCCGGTAAATCATTAAATGACATGCCCTTCAAATCCTTCTTAGATAAAATTGGGGTTAATTATCAAAATTCAGCAGTTCATATCCCAAAGGATGGGATCGACGTTAGTCATCTTGTTCCCAGCACTGTAACTTACAAGAAAGTATCCGATCCTTCAGCGTCATTACCATTACCACCCCACCCTATTTCTAATGATCAATGTGCAAACGGCTGGCGGTCTGAAATCTTGGCAGGTGTTGATAATATTCCCCATACAGGAGCGGTTCCAGGAAGTCTTCTGGTATACGGCGATCAAGCACGTCCTATTCTCTCGGGAAGTAAGAATATCGATGTCTGGATAGCTGCCAGTGAGGTGGGTGAAGGGAGGGTGCTTGTGCTGGCCCACGAAGGTTATCTGAAAGACTTTAACTCTCAAAACGCGAATAAAAACCTTCGAATACTTCACAACAATATGAAGCAATGGCTGACCAAAGGCAGGTTCAAAAATGGGTCCAACATTATATACTCAAACACTCCCGGAAAGACTTTAGATTCGGCATCAGGATCAATTCTTATTTGGTCAGGTCAGAGACATGTTTCATATACATCTGAGGAAGTTCTCAATTTTATCATTTCTGGCGGTGCGCTGATTCACGCGACATGCCCATGGGGTTGGAAACAAGTAAATGGGGGCATTTCATTTGATGAAATGCCAATGGCTGATATTCTGGATGTGGCTGGGATAGATTATACGGAAAAATATGTTCAAATTCCTGCACAAGGCTTAAATGTTTGTGACTGTTCTTCAACTGACTCATGTCATATTGGACTTGCTGTGGACGCCATTACCACAGATTTACGAAATTTGTCACATGTAGGAGAGGCGGTTGCATTAATAAATGAGATGTCAGAATCTAAACTGAAAAATTTCTCTGTAAAGCTTAACCCCCTCGTTCAGCTTATAGAATCGCCAACAGCAGAGGTGGTGCCATCAGAACACGCTCCAGTGAAGGGTACTTCTGGTAAAGCCATGATGGGTTTGTGTGAGGTACTTCACAAGACCGGCAAAATGAAAAGTAAGCTTCCTGGAATACATCTCTTTCCTGGGGATTTTACAGAATGCCCCAACAAATCTACGGTGCGACTGGAAGTTCAATCTTATCTGGCCGACGTTCACCCAACGGGCTATTACGCCAAAGCTGATGAGGAAATAGCAATTACAATCTTAAACAAAGATGCTACAAAGGAAGGTTGGAGACTACAGATTGGGGCCCATAGTGATTGTCTCTCGGGATCTGATCACCTTAAAAGATGGCCAAAAGTTGTGTGTTCACAAGCTCTGACAAATGAGGTTACTATTATGAAGTCTACTTTTGGAGGGTTAGTTTACTTGCTCAGTCCAAACGGGAGAAAAAATATCACAGTCCAACTAGATAACGTCATCGAAGCTCCACTGTATGATGTCAACATCCCTTCAACCGCTGAAAACTGGTCGGTTAGAAGGAACGCCCCTGGACTTTGGACCGACCTTTGTGGTGAGTTCCTTATAATCACACTTCCATCGAGCAGCATTAGAGATTTAAACAGCCCTGTTGAAGTTATGCAAACTTGGGATAGAGTTCTCAAGGCCCATTTTCATTTAAGGGGCAGTGATATACGAAAACATCGCAGACAGTGGTTGGTCACCGATGTCCAACCATCAGTAGGCTACATGCATTCAGGTTACCCAGTGGTCACCCAATTGGATGTAGCAGATCCATCACACGAATTTTATCTACTTAATAATGAATCTTTGTGTAACAAAGGATCCTGGGGTGTCTTTCATGAATTTGGTCATAACATGCAGCGAGGTGTTTGGACCTTTGCTGGAACAGGAGAAGTTACCGTCAACATTTTTACACTTCATGCCATGCAGATGATTGCCGGGCTGGAACCATGGATCCATTCCTGGTTACAGAATCAAATACCAGCCACGAAGACTTATTTGAACAGCAACGAGGATTACAGTAAGTGGAAGTCCAATCCTGGAATTGCTCTTTTCATATATGCCCAAATTGCGCACCATTTTGGTTGGCCCGTCTTCAAAGAGATCTTCCGAAAATACGAAAGCATGGATAACGGAATTTACCCCAACAAAGAACAGGACCAAATAGATCTTTGGTATATCCTTTTGTCAGATATTACAGGACATAATCTCTCGCCCCTGGTGGACTTCTGGAAAATACCTTTAAGTACCAATGCAAGACAAACTATGAATAAACATAAAGCTTTTCTACCCGATGATGAAGTTATTGGGTTTTCTAAAGAGAGAGAGATCAGCACATTGCAGCAGTACCGGGATTGTATTAGAATACCAACCCATCTTTTACAAGATACTTACAATCAACATGTTAATCCCCCTGTTATTCAAGATGCTCGTCTTCATGTCACCGTACTTAAATGTAGCTAAACAGTTTCTGGGGAAACTATAAAGTAGAATATGCAACGAGAACTGTGTAACTTAGTTAGATTTGATGATATTTCATTTAATCCTACGATCCAACTTCCATCATGCGATTTATCTTATTGAACTGTACAGACAAGTTATCTGTCAGTGGATGTATATTGTGCTAAAACCTAAAACTCGTTGTTGATGTCGTTCACTCTTAATTATAATGGTATTTTCTGTTTACTTTGTGACTTATATATTATGAAACGGTCAATCAATATGCCTGGCGAAACTTGTTTTCGCGGTTCTGTCTTCACCGGACCACACAATCTTTAATTTGTTTGTTGTATTTACTTCTTTCAAGGTTTATATTGTTTGTTATTCTAGTTTTTTCCTATTTAGTATCGTTATGATTGTTATTGGGCTGTATAACGGTATAGACAAATTTGTTAATCTACATGTATAACTTATAACTGTTTTTGCAGAATATTTTCTATATTTAATTTTTCTATTTATTCTATTGTTATTTTGAAAATATATCTCTGGTCTTTCAACAACGTATTATTATCTTTTATTGCATGCTTAATCATTCTGATTAAAACACAGATCCTACTTCGTTTCGTTTTTTATTGTTCAAAATTTCGTTTTACTTATCTTCACAACACTAGGATCTGGAAGAGTTGTTATATAATCCCTGTTCTGGTTAATGTGAGGGATTAGCCAATGGAACGGTTTGCTACGGCGAGTTCTTGGCTGGTGGTGCACAGAACTGTGGGTAAACCAATAGAAACGTCAACGCTGATTGATTAATCGATGTCTGTCATCATAGGGTCAAAAGTCGCTCTTATGACCCCTGACGCGACCTTCCACTACAGTCTGTTATATCTTCATGTAGTGTAGGCCATCGAAAGTATAAAAAACGAAACGAAATATAGATCTGTATTTTTATCAGATTACTGTTTGGTAATTATCAGTTACCAAGCTGTGGCATACTTGAATGTTTTGACAGTAAACTATCTCGCGTGGTTAGCGCTTCGCAGGAGAATGTTAGACAGTACAAATTGCGCACCATTTTTGATGGTCTGTTTCAAGAGATCTTACGAAAGTAAAAAACACATGGATAAAAAAAAGTTACCCAGCTTTTCGTTCCAACTGGGTGGTAAACTGCCCTGCTGCCAAAGCCACACTGTGTCTGAGTTGTAAACCATCGATTTAGGAGGCATCCTTAAACTCGTTGATTTTATTTCCAAATACTTGTGCTCTTCAAAAGTAAAACTTATTTTTCTACAGGGAGCCGGGGTGGCCCAATGTGTAAAGCATTGACTCGATAGCCAGGATCTCTCTTTCGGTGTGGCTTCCACTTGTCAGTCGTGTTGAACAGATGGTTTGATAAGGAACAGCATCTAGTCGTTTGGATGGGACGAAAAACCGAGGTCCCGTGTAACAGAACCGTTGACAGCTGGAATGCGATATAGGTGTAGGACGTAGCGTCGCTGCCAGGGCAAAATTTGCATCATAGTAAACTGCACGGCCTGTCTTCATCAACCCGATTGGTACAGAACAGAAGGACGTTAAACCCCATTCCATTCCATATATTTATGGAGAACAAAACAATCATCTTCTTTTGCAAATGTTTCAAAATATTGCCTTTCTGTTGGTGGTATTGGTTTTGTTTTAATTTTAATTTTAATTGATATCCAATTACAAGATATCAATTCAGTTCACTGACAATTACATAATAATAATTCAATCGGCGGAGAACATGTCCTCTAAGGCTAGGTACCGAGGAGAGAGAGAGCGAGGGGGGGGGGGTTATGTCTTGTACCGAGGAGAGAGAGAGCGAGAGGGCGGGGGGGCATGTCTTTTTTTTCTTTAACTAATAATTACATTTTAATTTTCCAAATGAGCGTCTCAAACCTGTTTTGTTTAACTTGACATCCCCCAAGTGTATATAAAATTGACAATTGAATATATCGATAAGGATAAAACAATAATAATTGTGTACAACTAAAAGGGAAGCAATCCAACGAAATAAGTGTTCTGGAAATTGGAGTTCTCTCCCTTTGGTTGCATTGTCGCTCCAGGCGAAAGACGTTTTCCCTTAGATATAATTTTGCTTTTATTTTTTCCAGTTTAATGTAAATGAAATGAAATGGGGTTTAACGTCCCACTGTTCTGCTCCGACTGGGCTAATGAAAACGGGCATACGCCATACAGTGTGTTATGAGGGAAATTTTGCCCGGGCAGCGACGCTCCCTACTCATATATCGAATTCCAACTGCCAAGGGATCTTTTATTTGCACGCCGCCAATGTATACACGGAACCTCGTATTTTTCCGACCTATCCGGACGACTAGACAGCTATCCTTGTCAGGCCCTCCATCCTGCACCACTGACAAGAGGAAACCACGCCAGAAAATCCCGATGAACTTTCGCTTCGGATCGCCAAAATGTTATTGTATCGGTTCCTAATTTTTGGCCACTGACCATTCCTGTCGTCATTTGATTTACACGGTTCTACATTATTTATATACCTTACCTGTAATAACAGGTGTTATATACACCTCAATATTATTCATCAACAATACATCACGCAACACCGAGATCGATCTTTAATTGATTTTTTAAAGTTAGACATCCTTTTATTTTTATTGTCCCTGCATATGCCGTGTTCACAACACGTGTTGCACAACATCCAATTTAACACCTTGTTGGATCCCTTTGTCACATGAATGACTCATAAACAGGGTTGATAAAACTAGTTTTAACCTGGTTCAACAGTTATGTTTTATTAATAGAATAAGATAAATTAATGCCGCACTTTGAAGTTTCCAATCTTCTGTAACTACCCCAGTATAATCAATGCCAAAACCGTTAGTCAAATCATGGACCTTATAATACATTATAATACATTATAGGGTCCATGGCCAAACCATTTGATGAAAATATACTACATTAAAAATAATACATAATCAAAATTATTCTTAGCTTTCCGGAACACCCGATACCACCCGTCACTGGGCTCATATAATGACGCTAGTTCCACGTAGCAGACCATGTTATTTTCTTACATTCGGATTAATTTTGGCGCTTTGTTATTAATTAACTTTCTTATATTGGATTGTTTATATTGTTTTATTTTTGACGAAAAGTTTGCAATCAAAAATGTATATTGGGTCATGCTCCGACCGACATCCCTCTCCAAGCCACCCAAAAAAGAATAAATTACCAAACATGCACCGAAACCCTTAATCAAAAAATGTGTTTAGTTTGGGAGAGTGTTGGCATAGATTTAAGAGATGTAACCATCTTCATTGTGGCCTACTGAAATAACTCAATCAATGGTCATGAATTATTAATTATAACAGTCACTGCTTGTCATTATTTTAAACAAAGACACTTTCCTCCGACAAATAGGTTTATCAAACAGCTATCTGTTCCAGGCATTTGCCGGGGGCATAGGCGTAGGAGCTCAAAGTAATTCAGGGGGGCATAAGAGAAAATTGTCCGAAATCAATACCGTTTTTTCGGGCATACATATCATAAGAGAGCTTCGGGCATATTTTCGGGCATGCAGTGGACAAGAAAAAGACGAGAAAATACTTTTCGGGCAGTGTGGATCTCATAGAAATAAGTTAGTTATATTTTTTCTCTAAACGTTAATAGACAAAAAAGGTCGTGGAATTTTTTTTATGCCCGAAAATAATTTTTTTTGCCCCCCCCCCCCCCGGCTCCTACGCCTATGGCCGAGGGTCCTCCGATTCCTCCCACTGCTAACGATCCCTACGCGAAAGCGAATTATTGAAATAAAATTGAACCATATGTTAGTCTCGAAATGACCTAGTTTGTGTCGAGTGGACGTTACCCCCCCCCCCCCCTCTCTTATCGCGAGGAAAGAATTGAACTAAATTCCATGGAAAACTTTATAATAAGATATATTCTTTGTTAATATCGGCTTCTGTTTCCTTTAAGTATTTCCAGTTTGTCAGATTCTAATAATTGTCAGTTTGGTAAAGTGATTAATATTATAATAATCACCAATGCAAACATTGAAGGGGCGGACAATAAATCTGAGAAAATCATCAGCTGACCTAATGAAAGTTTGTATCTTAAGGGCATGCATGGCCGGTTGTTTAGTGGTGGACAATGCTATATTGACTAGATATGGACAGACAGATGGCTAATTGGCTTTCATCCTCCAAAACCATCATAATTCAAACAACAACCTCTACTTCTAATAAATATCTTAAAGATTAGTAAAAGTTAAAGTCGTGATAGGGTTTTACCACTGCATGCATTATTTAAATAACAATAAAGTACATGGGTTGTCCATCTGCTCTTATAGGAGACTGGTACCATGGACGGATTGTCTGCTTCTCAGCTGTTCTTCTTCGCCAAGGGTATGCATTAATTTCGGATTGTCTGTGAAAGCCTTTGTTTATTTACAAGACTAAAGTTGCTTGGTCCTAAAGGGGCGTAGGGCATACATTTTAAAGGCGCTAATTGAGTCAGTATTTCTCGTGAGATAGTAAAAAGGACCATTTTCTAGCAGCATAAAGATTAAAGATTATAAGCCAATATTTGCGAATTATTACCAGATTACAGGATTTAGAGCTCATTATTCCAACAGTTTCTGAGGGCACAAGACAACTCCATCTCCTGAAGCTGGTATCAAAAGGGGTACTTTACAGTATACTACTTCAGCTTCATAAGTTAACGGGACAAAACACGAGTGTCAAGGAAATGTCGTTTTACGTAATAAAAATGCTCCGTAATTATAGGTAGTATTAACAAGAGTGTGCAATGTAAAATCTAAAATGGTTGAAACGTCAGAAGGAGATGGTCCCAACGTCAGAACTTCAGAAGGAGATGATCCAAACGTCAGAAGGAGATGCCCCCCCCCCCCAAAAAAAAAAGGAGAAGGAGATGGCCCAAACGTCAGAAGGAAAAGGAGAAGGAGATGGTCCAAACGTCAGAAGGAGATGTCCCTCCCTGCAGAGCACTCCATTTTCTTTTAATACACGAAAACTTGTAACGCCTAAATGTATTGGTAAACCGACTTTGTTGAACCAGAAGGAAGGGTGTAAGTCAAATTATCCACGTGTGAAAAAAGCAATTTGATATAAGTTAGAAATCATCAAATTAAATGTAGAACAAAGATTGTTCTTGAATTTGTTGTGTTCTTTTTAATATGGTGTCCCCGCAACTATATGTTGTTTGTTATATAACACTGCTGTTTTATAATGACACCACGTGGGTGCATGTTACCTTTAAGTACAGAATACATTTACACACCTTTATATTATAGTTGTGTCTTATAAACCCAGATTCTCGCGTTATACCCACTACCACCACATTTAGCATAATACTGTGCGTATCATGGAAAATTATACATGTTTATAACAATCTTGGATAAGTAACCTTTAAATTCCTTCCTCTTCGAATTAGTCAGACGGGTCATTTGTGTCATGCAACATACGATATTTGTTGGTAGAGTTGCTCCGTATCGTTACGGAACCAGATACGTTGCAACACAGGGAAAAACAATAAATTAAATACCCCAAGACATTGTTTAAATTGGTTCAGAATATTTCAGTTTGATTAAGGGAGTAG